AAAACTTGGAAATATCTCCTATGTTCTACGGTACGCATATTAATTGATTTAAGAATGCTGTCATAAGAATTAGATTTAGATAGGCCTAATAAAGTTCTAAGAATATAATAATTGGAATTAGCTTCATTGATGGATGACAAGAGGATTTGGAGAGGACTAGTGGTTGCCCGCCTTCGGGTGACCAAGTGAGTGAGTGAGTGAAAAACAACAGAGCGGGAGCAGATATTTTGCTTGAATTTTCAGTACAAATGGGGCTCGAAGTGAAACAATAGAGATTTTCCAGTGTTTAATACGGAGAAATTACAGACTTTTATTGAGAAAAAGGATTCGGAAAATAAGAAAAAAGCGACTAAAAATGCTGTTGCTACTCTCCTCGCTTTTTGGTAGAGAAATACATGACCATATGTGAGTTGCATTTGTAAAATCATGGTCCGTTTTCATGCATTTAGCTTGCTAAATAAAGTTCTTATTTCGTAAGCTGACTTCTCAATATTACTCAATTGCTATATAACAAAACACTTAATGTCTTTTCCCTCGGGAAAATAGTTAGTTTTGTTTTCCCAAGAGTCTCGATGTTTCACGAGGCGAAGCCGAGGGAAACATCGAGACTCAGGGAAAACAAAACTATTTCCCTCGCGACCAGACATTTAGTGTACAATATCTCTACTAATTAGTCAGTCCCAGAAAGGAGTTTTAGACTGATAAAACACGATCTGCGAATATATTACACGGCTCCAAAAACTCAGGAATAACTCATACATTTTTGATCAAATAAGTGCGACTATACACGTCACCAACATGGAGAATTTCTATAGAGATGATTTTGTCTCTCACATGCGCAGACAACGGAAAAATCTAAAGATGAAACGCGTACGCGTGTGTACACGAATTGGCGTTGAATTGGTACATTGCCTTCCCCCCGCTCTCTCCATGACCGAGACTATGTCCTTGCTACGCCCCTGCAGCACCAAGACAGTCCTTCATGATATATATATCTTTATACAAAACGTAATTCATCTTTTGATAATGTCATCCTCGTAAGTATTCTTTTATAAAGAGAATGGCTGTGGTGTATTTGTGTTTTCAGCGAGGCATATTGTCATCCGTGTTTTCACTATACGTTCTCTTCAAAATGGTATGTTGATCGTATTTGTACCGAATCTAGACCATAATGCTTTGCGTTCGCTCACTTCCGGTGTATCTCAGAAAAGGCCTATGGTAATGATGGTAGTGAACAAGACTTTATCGGGAATAGAGGTCCTTGTACGTGACCTGTATAATCGCTCCAATTGTAAAAAAGATTATTTATGAATGTCTTTCATCAGATCCTGGCCCAAACAGTCCTATTTTTCTACTACAATAACTATCATCCTACAGAACATAAGTTAATTATCAATCATGTCAGTATACCTTGAAGTCACATCCAGAGCGTTGAAAGGTACAAGGTACAATCATGTAGTCACACTTTTTGTCATGCACCTGGAAGAAGAAAAAACTAATTAGAACTAAGTCA